GCAGTTTCATGGTTATTAATTTTACGTTCTGATGTGAATTATATAATCTGTATGATCTGCTTTTCATGAGGGATCAGGGGTATAGAGAGGGACTTGGTCATTTAGCTGGCAAATGATAATTTTTCGCGTATTAGACGTGAATTGCAGGTCAGGTCTTTCATCGTGTAATTGATTTCAAACGACCGGCATATATTTAGATTTAAAAGAGTCATCAAATAGAAATGTTTCGTAATATGAACGCTTCCATGTTAAAGCATTGTTTTAAAAAATTGATTTTTTTTTTGTTAGTCAAATTAAATTAGTCAATTCAATGAATTACCTGATTATTTCTTGTATTTCCTCTATCAATAAGTTATTATCAAGTGAACGTGTCAGTATATGCCTATAATGTTATTCAAAAAAGTTATTCACCCCAACACTTGCTTATACATTAAAAATTTATTTAGTTTTATCTTTTGTATATATTATGTGGGTAATTTTAATTTTTTGAGACATAATTTACTATTTATTGAAAGTTTTTAAATAAATAAAGTATACATCACGACCAATTTTGTACGAAAAGCTGCTTCTATCTTTTTTTAAATATGGAACATTTGATAATAAAAAAATGTGTATATCGATATTAATAGACTCTACCTCAAGTTATAAAATAAAATTTAATACATAATAGAAAAAAGCTTATGAATTAAGTTATTTAGAGTTTGAAAAAAAGTTTTTTTATCAATAAATGATGTATAATATATAAAGTCGTATACTTTGGTTGGTATCTTACATCAAATTTCATGAGTCACTGGCTAAAAAAATAATTGATCATGTGTTTAGGTAATACCGAAGAGGAGGGGAGAATATGAATAGTTTAAGGAAATCAAGTGTGAGACGAACGTTATATATATGACCGTATGCGTAACGAAAGCATGAAATATGGCTTTGAGCACGTTTGAACTTGTATTCGTTACACTTTGAAAAGCGTGTTTGTACATGCTGTACAATGATTCCATTAGGAAAATTGAAAAAAGCTTTTTTATCCAATGTGCCCTAAATGCTTCCTTTACTCATCGATAATTCTAATTTATAATATGTAAAAAATTATTTTTTACCCATGAATGAACTTTATAATTTACTAAAATATTGAGAGGCCCGAATAATGTTGAAGTGCAAAATATTTAAACATTGTTTTACCAGTAGTAGTAATATTAGCTCGATGAGTTTCAGAAAACATTTTTGTTAACAATTTGAGAATCTTCGAATGTTTTTCTTGTCACTCATTACAATTTTCATTTAAACGCTTTGGTTGATAATTATGTGAAAATTTTATCCTCAAAAGCCAAAGAATTGAAAGTTGCTACAAATATGGAATCATTCAAGTGATGGGATTGAAAAAACCTCAGCTCACAAATGTTTGCCATTGGAAAACAAAAACTTAACGTAACAATGTGCGATTAATGATAGCACAGATGGGATGCGTAGATTAAAAGTTAGAAACCTATGTGTACCTAGTATATCGATGGATTCAACCACATCTTTGTTTCAAACAAAATCGTAATTCCAATCGCTTCAAGCTTCCAATTAAATTAAATTTATTTTACAATACACGAGTCAGTGATTATTACTTATAAAAAGTATTTTCTTCAAGTGATGCGATATAATTCATTTATTTTAGACGAGGAAGCAAAAAAAAAAGATTTCCAAACACCACCAGCCTTGAAAACAGGAGCGGGTCCATCGCGTCTCGAATAAAACCTCGCAATTCAGCCCAATCAAAATTAATAAACGCATACATGCACGCGCCTGAATACGTGGCATGTTATTATCCAAAGGAAATAAAAAGAAAAAAAAAAAAAAAAAAATGCACCTTGTACATCCGAGAGAGCATAGTTCCCACCGTGTGCTCTGTAGAAAAAAACGAAAACTGTCTTCAGAAAAAGAAAGGAAGGAAGGACGCGCCTCGGTACCCCATTAAAATAATCGACGCCAACGACCGTCCCCTTCCTCCCTCGATTACAGAGCACAGTTTACCGATCCCCCCCCCCACACACACACAAAGTTTGTATATATTCGTACACCCGCATATTCAATAAGTCAAGAGAGACAAGTCTGGTCCCTTCGCTCTAATTTCATAATATACGATGCTCCAAACACACAAACACTCGTATCTCCTCTTCTTCCGATGTGCGCATAAACTTATAAATATTTTTCTTTTTTTTTTTTTTTTTTCCCAAGTTCCATCATCTCTCTCGCGCCCCGTGCCTTGGCGTATCACCCGCCGAGTAAGTAAGATTTATTCCAGCCGCGTAGACGCGATTTGTTTGCGCTGGTGTTATAATATGAGGAAATCGACGGGAGGAAAAATGCCCCTGCTCGCGATCGCTTCCTCCGGCACCGGTGCTGCGGAGCCATTAATTCTCTCTCTTACTCTCGTTTTGGCCGCTGGTGCTTCGAAATTGTGTTTTTCACGCCGGCTTATCGCGACCGATTTGTACTTTTCCTGCTTCACTGCCGATACTTTTTCTTTTCTTTTTCATATTAAGGAAAAGTTGGCGGAGCGAAGAAAAGAGGGGACGGATGGATCTTGGCCATTACTCGGTTTTAAAAAGGGGAAACTGGGGCTGTCACCCGGTGTATATTCAAAATCATCGCAACAATGACGAAAATCGTCCCCCTTCCCTTGCGTAGTACACCCATACACTCCGTCTCCGGCGGAAGCGGTTCGCGCACGCGAATGGAGAAAAAGCTTCTTCTTCAATCCTCCTGGTTTAAATCGACTTCTTTTCCCGATGTACACGCGCATGCCATCTTCCAACGTGTGTGCCGAAAAGTTCTCCGCCTCGCAAACAGGGAGGTCAGAGTCGAAATGTGTGGACGCGATCGAGACGCAAGTATCGATGAGACAAAGTCTTACATGAGACACTGATGGAGCATACACTGGTTGGATGATTGGACTCGTGAACATAAGAAAAAAAGCCTCTCGTAGATACAGATTATAGTTTATGGGACAAAAGTGGAGTGGGTCGTCGGAAAAAGGTATATAAAATCACCAAGCGTGACGATTGCCCGTGAATATTATTGTAAGATCGGGTGAACGGCCGATCGCGGAAAAACAAGGGACGCTCTGAAAAACACGGCGAATCGATAAATTGTCGAAAACACACAAGCCAGAGAGCATATCTCTCGCACGCGTTTCGTGTTACCCGAAAGTGATTATGTAACGATATATCCTTGTACATTGTGCCGATTTTTCAATAGAGACTATATTATATATACTTATTCTCATCGTAGGGGCTTTGAAAAGTATACGTGTGTAAGGTAATCACAAGTTCGTGGAAACGGAATAATATCGCGTACATTTATGTGGGAAAAACGAAGAGAGTAGGGGGCCCAACAACCAAAAATGCGATTAATTAGCAAAAAGTGTACCTACACTGTTCCACTCGGAGTTTGCGTGAACGCACGACCCGGTGCATTATCGTGCATTATGCGCTTTGCCAGTCCTCTCTTTGCGTGTGCCATTGTGTTATACATTATTAGCCCAACTCATCGTCGTGCCGACGTCACGAGAAGCACGCGGCATTAAAAATTCAACTCTTCGACTAGCCTTTTACGTAATTTATGGCAAGACCCATCGTTGCAAACGTAAGGAAAAAAAAAAAACAGGGTTTTGTCGTCGTCATCGTTGCCAGGATGATAATTTGGGTTTTCTCACCCTCTGGGGTGCATCGACACCGTAGGTATATATTATAAAACCAACGCGTTTGCGTTACCAGCCTCCGCCTGCTATGCAAACAATACCTCACGCTCTTTTCTGTTTGCTTACACACGCGCGCAACATCATCGGCTTTTGTAACGTTTGAGCAGCTAGTGATGTGTATTATACTTGTGTATGGTGAAAAATCACCGGCGACCGATCCAGTCAAAATATACACACGCGTCTCATGCGCGCGGCAACGTATATACGAGTTATTTTTACCCGCGATACTTACTTGTTTTTTCCCTCTTTCAGCCGATCGCGTATAGGTATACATATATGTGGCATTGGTATTCCTTGCACTGCGCTGTACGTATATAGAGAGGTTTCACTCCGTAAAAGCGCAAACCGAGTCTTTTTAGACGGGGGAATGCGAAGAAAAAAGAAAAAAAACAGTGTGTGCCAGATAGAGCAGGTATATCGAGGTTAGCAGCGATTATGGGAACACGCCGCTTCCTTTTTTTTTTCTATTCTATTCTATTATATTCTCTAAGGAAAACGTATATAGATTGTACTCTGTGTAGCGGCCGATGAGCAAACGCGTGGTGTACATTGGTCATTCAAATGTAAATTTGGGACGCGCCAACAAGTGTGTGCACAACGCCGGACTCTCCTTGTTTATATGTATATACACTACACAGATAACAGATATACTACTCGTGTTTGAATTTAAACGAGTTTGCGATGTACCGTGTCTTTCCCTTGCACACGCATCATTTACTTACGTATCAACAAACGCGCACGGCCAAGTCCGACATGAGAAAATTTATCGCGCTTGGGAAACCGATTGAATTTTCCTTTTTTTTTTTTTATTCCTCTCAGCGCACTTTTATTTTATCGCCCACGCTGGAAACAGTGGGTTACACTCTCGTTTCATTGGAATAACGTGTCTCGCAATCCAAGTGCAATTATATTAATGTTAATATGCAACGCCCAGCTTGGGTATGGCAACTTGTGTACTCTTACGTTGGATCACTCCAGACGTTTTTTTTTTGTTTAACTTGAGCCCAGCACTGCAGAGACAGGCAGAGAGAGAGAGAGAGGGCACTGCGTGCATTGTTATATTTCGCCTCTTGACAAATTCCAGCGCTAACGCGCGCGCCTGTGATCGATAAACACCTGAAATACATGCCCGTCCGTCGAACCTCACCCCCTACAGGAGGGGAGTGGAAGAAAATCCATCACCATTCGCGAAAACAATTCAAGTGTCCCCTTCCCCCCCCCCTGGAAATGTTGATATACTTATGGAAGTACTTACCCTTGGTTTGATTGTCGAACCATTGGGCCTAGTCGGTGTCTCGCGAGGTAGACCGTGGTCGCGGGTGGCTCCTCGTTGCCATGGAGCGCCGAGCCAAGAGTGCCTTATAACAAGACCGTGTTTTTTCACCCCCTCGTAGACAAAAACAACTGGCGCTTCTTCGCGGGTTGCGCAACTTGTGGACTTGTTTTTTTATTTAAATGAACCAAACAATAGATTTAAACGGAGTCGCGGAGAGAGAGAGACATCACACTTGCATTTGAATGGTAACAATCCAACTATTGTCACGGTACAATAAATATTGCAACGGGGGTTTGGCAAGCTTGGTTCAGTTTGTCGCGGTGTCAATATCGTGCGCGCTCAAACTTTGTGACAAGCGAATGAAAAAAAATAAATAAATAAAATGAATTGATAAGAGAGCGATCGCTAAGTGAGATAAGAGAGCGAACGCGAGCCGCGACGCAAGCGACGTTCACGAGGGTACTGACTGGGCCGCCGGAGTTTGCTGGCAGTGCTGCCTCCTTCGCGCTCTCTCTCTCTCTCTGATGTGCGCGTCTCACTCCCACGCGATCGTTTTGAATTTGACGAAAGATAGAACGGGACGGCGCATGCGTGCCATGTAACATCATATCGTACTCATTGGACGGTGCAAGCTTCCCTTTTGGTGCTCGGTATAATATATAAGCACTACCTAGTACGACTGCAGTTGCATAGTATGTGGGCACAGTTGAGGATACAGTGACGCATACGGTGTGGGCGAGAGAAAGGGAGCTTTTTTTTTTTTTTCCTTCATCGATCGGTTCATTATCGTGGGCGCAGGTGATTAGTTCGGTTTTTACGGTGATCGTTTATCAATAGGGTTCATGTTTTTTCGAGTATTGAGTGAAAGAAAATGATGTTTTATAATTTTGATACCATTATTATTTTTGGCTCAAAACTAAAATTAAAATCGAGATTGGATCTCGAAATCGAAATGGCACCTTCCTGTACCCGACAATATCGGTTCGTTCACTCGTGTGTTTTATCTTCCATTTGACGATTTTTTATCGCTAGAGAAGTTTTTTTCATTTTCTCCTTTCGTAAGCTTAATTTTATACACTAGATGAGCGATCCTCAGGCGGAAAATTTCACTTGAATCAATCTGAATTTGCTTCACGTTATTGATCGTTGGATGATGTTTCACTCTTCGTTTTTAAAGGGGGAGGAGTATAGGAAAAGTCTTTGTGTACACACGTGCATTTTCGGCTTTCCGCTAAAATCGATTAGAGCAGCTGGAAAGGAGGGAGGAATCCAAGTGGATATTAGTTTTTGATCCTTTAGACGAATTTGAGTAAAATCAATTGCACGACCAACTCTAGAGTGTTACTTATCAGTTGAATAGTACGTATTATTTGAAAGTAGAAAAAAAAATCAACGAATGAAATATAATTTTAGAATAATCATGTTAACAATTTGTTTTCAATTGAAAAATTCATCATTCGTGATTATAAAAAAAAAAAAAATATTTAATGACTAGAAATATTTGATTGTCTTATTTTTCAATTTAACAACTGGCAATGAGCTTAAAGTAACAATAATCGGTATAAAGTACCCGTTCCCTCAACGAACTCGATTCATCGGAGGCGTTTGGTCAAACGAAAACACAGCCATAAATCGATACTTTCGTACACCAACGTTTGTAGCTCTTAGTCGTACGTACAATTACTCAGCACCAAAAAAAAAAAAAAAAAAAAAAACCCATCCCACACAAAGCAGTCCCACAAAGACCAACTGCTCCCTTCGCAGCCATATAGCCACTCCACACGTGTCTCCGCTTGGTATACACGTCAAGGTGTGGGTCCGCACACTCACTCGCATGCAACACGTATATAAAAACACATACGCCCGACTCTGTTGCGCACACTGGATTATTATAAATATACCATCAGCAACATGGCCCGAGAGTGCAAACGCCATTATGAAGATGCCTATACGTACGGATGTAATACAAGTGCGTTATGCACGTAACATGCCCAACGAAGATTTGATTTGTGCGCGGGTATATATTTATGTGTAACCCACGCCGTGGGCGCTCGGGGGATCAGCGGCCCGGTAATGCCTGCGTAATGATCTACTGCGGGTACCCTCCACTCCCTTTCCCGTTTGTCACCATTTTATCACAATTTCCCGTGTTTGCTTTCGCGAGCTTTGGCTGTTTCACGTACAGATTTCCACGGGAATGTTGATTGTTCCGTCGATTCGAATATAGATGATGTTCCTGACGTGACTATTCATTACACATGCCTTACCGATCTATTTTCCGTACTCACATTATTGCTTTAACGATTGCACCGCGAAACAGGTGCACGTGTACATATTATTATGTATATTATGACGACCGCTGTTACGTGGCAGAGTCGTCGTGTGTTTCTCCGTTTGCGGCCGCATCTGTCTTACAAACACGCGTACTCATCCATACAATAAGCACTTCTGCAATTTGAGAAACTGCATGCCGTTAACAATCCACTGTTCCGTGCACTCTGCCAGGCCATGTGCTCGTCATCATTATTATTGTTATTACCGTAAGGTCCATCCTACGCGTAATTTCACGTAATTTTGGGTAACGGATGTGCACTTTGGCGCGTGTGTTTCAAACTGTGAATTTTTAATAACATAACGGACGAAGAAAAAAACAAAAGTGGAAATTCAATGCCAAACGCAGATCTTGTCAGATTGATTTTGCAGTGAAGTGAAGCGTCGCGTGAAATCAAAGAAAGGCTTCGATTGCGAATCAGAGTACGGACAGAAACGCGTCTAGCTCGTCGTGGGAGAATACAATCCTCACCCGTCACCCTTTATCGACGTATCCCAAACCGCATGCCTCTACATCTCGTACCACAGTCTCGCTCTATATTCACTTGGCGTGTACGCGCATTAGGTACATAATATATTATATACATGCATGAAGGCAGTATAAGTAGTAAGTGCTGCACTAGTTGATCTCGTCTAGGTAACTGAGACACGTAGTTGCATATAATTATAGTTACATAGCTACGTGCATGCGTGGGCTCTGGTGAGCATTGAAATATGTTACGTGTGGGTACATCACACGCGCGTTTAACGGGTGACGATATAATATACACTGCAAGCTCTGTCTCCCAGCCTGTCTTAGAAGAGCTTGTTACATATATGTATACGAGACAAGGGAAAGAGGATGAGGATTGTGCGGGGGCGTACTCGGTCTCGCACACGCGAGAGTAGGTACATGCCTACGTCACTTGACATGGGAATTAGCTTGTACGGCATGTGTATAGACGCGGCTCGCAGTACATAGTTACCAACTGTGTCTTCAGCTGTATAGGTATATAATAATGCATTGGGTAATACTGTAGGGGGATGGTGGGCCATGCCCCTGTCATACTTGAGCCGAAAGTGCAATGCTGCGCCATGTTGTTTATGGCTTCGTGATTGTACAATGTATTTGTTGTCGAAAAGTACTTTTTTGCATGTATACTATTTATTCAAGTGTCCAGATATACATATAGGTATACGAGGGTGAAACGTTTGTTGCGAGAAATCACAGTTTATGTTCTAATTAATTAATTTGATTAATTACAATTTCAAAACAGTCCTTGCGATTCAGATGCGTTGTGTAGTACAATTGAATCTTGTAGAGCGAGATAGTTAGTTGTAACGAATGGAGTACTTTGTTGTAATTTTTTGTGAAGGCAAAACTTCACGTGTTCCAACACTTGTGCGTTCAATTGAATGTAACGAATGATGAGCACACGTTTATTCCGAAATGTTTCGGAAGCGTTGAATAATTTATGACCTATTGTTTTTAAAGTGCTAAGAATTACATCATTTGACATAGTTCATAATATTTGATTGGAGAGATGAAAAATTGTTAAAGATGTATCGATAATGAATAAAAAAAAAAAAACAAAAAAAACATTTTTCTCATACATCCACCATCTCAAGAAATGTTGACTTACAAGGGCGTTGATAACATCATTGTTGATTGTTGATTGAAATGATTGTTACCAGGATAATAAATGTCAGTATGACCTCGAAATTCCAAAAAAAGTAAAAATCCGTGTAAAAAATGTAATACCATGACCGGGAACACTCAGCTAGAGGATAATATGCGCAATCAGAAATAATTGAACAAATAAAACTAGTAGGTCCAAAAGTTCCCTCAGGTTTTATTTCATGCAATAGTTATACAAAGTTTAAAAATTCTTATTCTTCAGTTGTGTTATCCAAATTCTCCAACACATTGTACGTTTTCGTTTTTAATATTAGATATCCTCCACTTTTAACAGTATGCTTGATGTCCATGCTGACGCCCGAAAGGGGCACAGGTGGATCCGAAACAACCGGCTGGATGTCTATAAAAGGCAAAGTGGACTGTCCCGCGTCCTTGGACGAATAAGCCGAAGGGGCAAACTCCGTTGACTGATGTGCTTCGCCATCTGGTTTGTTCTCGTCATATTCCAATGAAGTTGGTGACGACAACTCGTACAGTCTCAGTGGAGTTCTGGAAAATAGTGTGCTACGTATCAAATGCGTCATGTGCAACTTTAACTAAAATGAGTCAAAAATACGAAATTATTTGTATTTAGATACCTGGTAAATGTATCTTGCTTCGAGGACCACCAGGTGAACTCTTCGTGGTTCAATTGACCAGTGCCAAAGTTGAATCTCATCGCCATTGTGTCTAGCTTCACGTAAACTGGACTATTGCTTTCCTGAACTAAGCCAAATCTTAGACCAACAACGACTTTGTTTTCCTCAAAGTCCATATCATCGAGATATAATCCACGCTTGTCGTACCAGTCAAGTTTAAATATTTGTTTCCCCTCAAATGTGTCGCGAATCTTGTATTTCTCTTTTTCATCTTGAGCCAAATCAGCAGTACCACTAATTGGCTCAATATTCTTCCATTCGACAGACTTTCTGTCTACCAATCCGTACCGATTTAATTTTCCCTGTTGAATCTGAATGTGAATCGTGTGATTCACTAGAACAAGTTTTACCCCAGTAATTATACTGGTGCCGTAAACAAGCATAGTTAGTCATGGTTGTTCCATAAAAAAATCCAAACATTTGTTTTTTGAAATAAATTGTGAGGTAACTTACAAATTTCTTTCAACGTCCGATATGACGGGTTCCAAGCTGATGTATCGATCAGAATCCTGTAACTCATGACAAATGCAGTCGCATCCACTTTCCCTAAATGCGGACCTGTGTGAGGTCACAACGTAAGCGCTTTCAAATGTGGTTTTGTCAGAGTTTTCATCGCAATCGATTGAATGTCTACGAAGTAATATTTCCCAGAAATTCCGAGGTTCACTTGTAGCGGCACTGTATCTACGACGCTGACTTTGATCTTTCTATGAACGGAAAAACCAAGTTATGAAAATAATGGGTCTTATAAATGAAAGAGCTGCAAGTGAAAATAACATTGCCAACCAAAATACACGCAGTGATGGGTTTGGTATTTTCAAGTGTCCTACAATACACAAGATTGTTACAATGGCGCTGTCTCGTACTATGCGTTATTGGTTGTACACTCTGATCTTTTTGCGTTGCTGGGCAGTAACGCGTTGCAAAGTCCGCCCCTTGATAGAGCACTCTTTGGAAAAGTTTGAGCTCGACGAAAGTTTTGTCTGGGAAACGAAATACAGGAAGCTTGATTGTACTGCGATGTCACATATTTTAAGGATAAATGAAAATATGAGTGAAATATCGTGCTCACTTTCTACAGGAGTTTTTGGATCACACTTCCACATGTCCCGTTCCGCCCGGGACATCAAGCCTTTAAACGCTTCTATTGTTTCTTTAATTATTTCAGTTGCTTGCTTCTTCCAATCCTTCCGTTCTTGCACGTGGGTATCTGGAGCAGTTGTAAATAGTTTGGACTTATTTTTAAGAAATAATTTTTCGTCGACAAATGGAAAAAAATCACGTTACCATGGGTGGTGTTTTGGTACTTGAGTTCATGAGCATATTTCAAGCTCACGATTCCTTTTATCTCGTACGACAAGACGGTGCAAAAGAAATCATAAAAATATCTCTGACGAGATTGCAACCTTCCGCAGTAAGGGTCTAAGTTCTATACACATACACGACAAATGACCAACTAAATTTTATTCATCCAATATTATTTATCAAAAGAAATAATTATCCTTACGTCGATGTATTTTTCCATGAGGGTGACGAGGCTGTTCTCATGGAGAGCAACCACATCGTCATAAATTTCGTGTAGTTTTTCGGGCATGTCGTTTGCCGTCTTCTCGGCAAAATTATCCAAAGTGTCGGTTTCGTAGCGAGTCCGGTTCCGTTTATACTTGACGTACTCGTCGTAACGTCTGTCAATGTAACTGAATTTCATCCTGATTGCGTGTAAACGTTGACGAATATTGACCTCAGTCGGGAGATGGAGTTCCATATTTTTAAAGTCCAGTTTTATATCACGAAGATCATTCTTCAATGACTGAAAATTGCGCTCTTCGTTTGATACGGATTTGTCTCCCAAGTTCGAAGAGACGAATTCATACGCTTTCATAAAGTATACAAGACCTTTCAATGCCGTTTCCACTTGAGCATCGGACTTGGAAAGTACCAAACTCAAAAGTAGTAAGTTGTAAAATGGTATTTGAATCCACATTTTTTAGACCGAGTAACTATATTCCTAAAATTAAAAGAAAATGAAAACGAGACCTCTTGTAATACTACGTATATTTGTATTACTGTCAAATATAATTAAGAACTTCGTTTTAGTGTTGGTGCTTTTATATTCATTTAAATACTTTGAGAATTCAATTGTTTAAGTGAGGTGTGCACCAATGGCTCCGACCTTTTGTCATATAGGTTATGAAAGTTGTATCGTAATAAAAAAAATGAAGTACTCAAATACGTTAAAAAACACCAACTAAATTAATTATTGTCTATATTCAAAATACTTCGTAATAATTTGAGTTATATAAAAGCCACTCTTGCGGTTAATCTTATGTATATTAGAACAGTATATAGTTACCAGTAGACACTATTGGACGTATGTGGTTTGCGTAAACTCAAGTCAGTCTTTATATATGATGTGTTTCATGAAAATTAAAGAATAATACAACACATTAGATTCAGCGCACATCCGAATTGCCTCATACTTCATTAACTATCCACTCGAAAATTCAAAGAATTAATCATCTCACGTAGTTCATAATATTTGACATAAAAGATAATTTATTAGAGACGCAGTTATGAAGTAAGAAAACATTTTGCTCGTAAATCTATTACACAATAGAAAAGTAGACGAAAAGACAATCGATAACATCATTTTACATGATAAAATGAACTGAATAATAAAAGGTAAGAATATTTTTGTCATTACAAATTTAGAACTGAACGCAATTTGGGGAATAATGTTACGCAATATACTTAGTTATTTACAATTTGCAAAATGTTACTATGATTATATGACATTTTGAAAAGCTTATGTACTACATTCATTAAATACATACATAACAAGTGAACCTCGTGTATTTTTAAACTTAAATTATTCATTTTTACATCTACGTAAATTGAAAATTTGAGCCAGTAACACTTGTTGTCCTAGTGATTAAACATGATTTGAATACTCGAACGTTTTTCATCATTTCAATGGACACATCGAGTGGTAAATGAAAAATCAACAAAACGAAAATAACTAATGAACAAAACTTCAACAGTTGGGTAGTAAACGTAAAACTTGGCCATAAATTACAAGTGATATCTTTGTCAAACTATAAAAGTAATATTAAAGGTGTCATTAGCACTCCTATGTTACAAGAAACACAATAACATATTATTATGTATGAAAATTGACCAAAGCATGGAAAGCATCGCTCCCAAGAGATAATTTACGGATCAAGCAATAATCGGTAGTACAATTAAGGAAGCAATTCCAAAAATGCCCATCGGTCCTGGGCATGTAAGAGGAATCGGTGGTGGGTGCGGTGGCAGGAGGGATGTACAGCGCTAAGTACAATATGCCCCGGGGGTCGCAGCCGAAAACCCCAAAGGCGCGTTCGGCTGTTGGCGGATTTCTCGGGGGCACACAGGGAGAGCGCCAAAATTTACGAGCGACTGTAAAATTACGCGCACCCGGCGAAGAGGGGTTCGGGCACGGCATAAAGGCCAACCTCGTCGTCTCGAGTCGCGGTGGCGATGACGGCGGTCGTACCAGTAACTAATGCAACCCCTTTGGCCTCGAGAGCGAGTATTAAGGATGAGTTATTTATGCTCTTAATAACGCCCACGTCATCACTCGGCTGGTTGAAATGTTCTTCCCCCCACCCCCCCCCCGGGTAGGTTTTATTTTTTAAAAACACAATGCAAAGCGATAATCCTTCCGGTGGATGATTCTTGGCGTATGGCGGGGTGGGAGAAGGGTGCATCCCAACTGTGGCTTTTGTCGCTCAGTGAGGGGCAATCGATGCCCAAGATGCCATTCGTTGGTCCGAACGCAATAATCAAACATTTTGTCACACCAATAACTGGTATCGGCGTGTGACCACTTGAACCAAAGCAGATATCGTTTAGTGAAGTGTTACTTATATAGGAAAAGAAAAAAAAAGATGTCATCGCGACGCGGCTCATAGACTTCCACCTGCGCTCAAAAACAGGTGTCGCGCACTCTTTGCCTCCGTATTCGGACAAAATTGAATTTTCAACAGCCGGGGAACCAGCCAATTATCGCGTTCGTCCCCGTATTCGCGCTGAACCCCCGCTATACGATACTGCGAGTGTAACATGTCAATGCCGCTCCAACTTGAGAACCGGAGGTGCGGGGACGGCACGCGTATAGGGTGGCTTTAACACCGCAAAATACGGAGGGTACAAGTGAGCAGTGCCAGTGTAGGGCGTTGACAGGGACTCGAGGCTGTTCTGTGCCGTGTATATATAGGCTACATGGGCGATGCGTGTGCGTCTCCTCGCTCAAACTTTGCGGTCTGCGAATCTCTGCAGTATAGCGAATTGCACAGCCCGAGAGAGGCGCCTGTCGTGTAGTAGGTACATATATCGTGCCCATACGTAGCGAGGGTCCGCGTGCGGGTTAATGGACTGGCAAGCTCAGATAGGAAAGCCCTCCCGTCTGGGCACCCGGTGTCTTTTCGGCGGAGGTGCGCCTTTTTCCCTCTTTTATTTACTTTTTTTTTCTTTCTTTCTTTCTTTTTTTTTTTTTTTTCCTCCTCTCGGTTTTTCGGGATTAGCGGGGCGGTCCGAGGGCGGCGAGGATTAGGCGAGGATTGCTTTCGATTTCCTTCCCCCTGGGCTCCCCTCCTGTGATTAAAATTTTCGCTTGCGGATTGCTCCGCCGATGCTGCCCTCGATCTATCATTGGACCGGTGCCTCTCGGGCCTGATTGGAATCCCTCCCTTTTTTCCTTCCACCTCATCTAGGGAGCTTTAATTGAACCCGTTTCTTGATCAACATTTTTCGAGAGGAGTTAGCTCGATGATTAGCGGACCGATCATTTTTAATTTATCTAACATACACTCCAAACGAACCACTTGATCGTACAGGCGAGTTTAACGGCTCCAGTGTCGCGACAATCAATCCTCCGTGGAAGTAGATCAGCGGAGAGCTCGGCTTTTATTCGTACTCGTTAGAGTGCACGTGAAACGTGTTCGAGGAAAAAAAAAAAAAAAAAAAAAAAAAATACTTGTCATAGCCGTGGAGTTGGCGAAACAGTTATCAAATCGAATTACGGATGTGCACGGGAGAGAGCATCTATATCTGCAGTGTCGATGCGCCCTGATACTCTCTCTACTGGGCGTGAACACCTTTGCGATCGATGTCGAACACGAGCCGTTATATGATAATTCGCAAAGTTTATTACACCGAGTTTTTTCATCACGCGCTACTGAAACTTTCATGCGTTCGCTCTATATTTTAATTCATCATGCTTTTTTTCACTTTTTGTGAGTTTGCACGCGTATGATTAATACGTGTTGCAAGCTTCGCTGATTTTAAGATTATAGATCCTTCTACTGGGTTATTTTTTCTTTTCCATTTTTTTACTTACCTACAGTACGTTGATTTATAAAACTACACTTTCTCAAATCTAAGTAGTTTATCAGTAAATCATCTTGATTTTTTTTTTGTCCATGTTTATAAAATCAATTTCTAGTGAAAGTTTTTTTGTACGGTATAAAATTAAGAAGTGCAACTAAAAAATAAAAAAAAAAATAAAATGCATGCGAGCAGATTCTGCTCCTCAAGTACATATACTTGACTGAAAAAACTTCTTCGACTTCAACATTCGATCTCGAGAATCTGCACCGCACACGGGTGGCACTCCAAGTTTAATCAACTCCGTGCTCTCCAGCGTTACATATTAAACCCTGCTGTCTCCTCCGGTTGAATGGAAAAGAAGAAAAAAAAAATCGGCACACACTTGGCAGCTACGTTTCTCTCTTTGTGCCCTGCATTTTCTTTTTACCACCTGTGCCTTTTCCTCTCCTCTTTTCCCATTTTTCTTCGCCAATCGATGAACTCATGCATACATTCATACGCATATATTCGATGCTACCCGTCGATGCTTACGTTTGCAAAACCCTTGGTTTTTTTCCTTTAGTCTAAAGTATCACTACCAAAGTGTAACAAAACATTTCTTACCCGAAGAATAGCAGTGTATAATCCGCATACCGGAGTATACCACGCGTTTTTCTTAAACTCATCGTAAAGCGACTCCCGTGGCTTTTCCCGCAGCAATAAACCTTCTTCTCTCCTTCCCAAACTACTTTCTGCTGCTGATGCTTTTTACTCTTGATTCTCGTGCGTGCAACAACCGCAATGGCAGCAGTCTTTTTTTTTTTTTTTTTTGTCCACAAAGTGCAAGTGCGAGGGGACTTTGCACCTGTGCGCTTCTCCTTTTTCTCTTCGCTGAGATAAGTTTGTTCAATGGTCCATGGGGTGCACGAGGGAAAGTTTTTTCACCCTTTTTTTTTTTTTTTTTTTTTCAGGCGGAGCTATGACGATGAGAGGTTTTTTTTTCATCGTCGGATCGTGTGGATTTTGCGAGGTGCGGGGCTGTAGGGTGGATCTTGCGTGTGTAATATAATTGGAAATTGATAGAGTACGTCGGCCAACGGGTATGATAAATTTTATGTTGAAAATGAAGGGTCATCGGTGAAATAGCTGGGTAGTTGGTGTCATTAAACTAAATTAATCAGGTGATTATTTACCTATGATTGAACTTTGTTTCCTGAAAGTGCACATGTGAACTTATAATAATCACTGAACCTTGTGTGGAAATTCAAAACCCTTGTGTAACATTTTAAATTATTTTTAAAATAATCCATGATTAAATAACAACCCTCACTGAGGTTTGGTTTAATGGTATGAAATCCAAACTATTCATACGTACACTTTAAATTTATGGATACAACAAAAACATTTAGTTTTTGTAATTTAAAAAAAAAAAAAAAAAAAAAAGCACCCAATCTCGAGTTAATGTNGCAATAATTTGTCGGATTCGCAAAAAACTCGCGTAGCTCAAGTGCAAAAAAATATTCAAATACCAATCAGACCGAGGTGATGGAGTAAGCAACGCTTCATGCGAGAATCTCCATTCGCAGCTCGGTTAGAAAAAAAAAAAAAAAAAAAAAAAAAAAAAAAGGGAGGGCCCTATCCAATTTAATGCGTACGCGCTCTCCTTCCCGCTCCTGAAAGGAAACAGACTGGACGAGGGGCACCTCCAATGAAGCCTCCGAAACAAAATGACTGAAAAATAAATAAATAATCACGGCACGATTACCCGCAAAAAAGGAAGATAAAAAAAAAAAATAAAAAAATAAAAATAAAAAAAAAAGATAGTTTCAGTAAATCGCTCTACATGAACGCGCGGAGCAAGCAATCCACGAAAGAGCATCCCCGTGGCCCTTGGCTCTCCATCAATCCCGCACGGCCGGCGGCTCTTAAGCTACTGAAAATTTAATCGAGCCAGCCAGCAGCCAACTCTACCCAAGCTTCCTCCTCCTCGCCTCAACTCCTACAAGATACTAGCCCAGAGAGAAAAAAAGAGCGGGACGAGGCGGCAAGGACTATAGATGTTACCTCACGTGCGAATAAATACGCAAGGAAAGAGCAGGAGCTGGAGGGCGATAAATAAAAGAGAGAAAAAGGATCACCGCTATCATTGCTCAGGTGCAGGGGGGCCAAAGTTACACGGAGGAAGAGCATGTAGTACGACGAAGTCGACGTCGCAGGTGTCGGAGTGAATTTTCACGCGTAGAAAAAAAAAAAAAAAAAAAAAAAAAAAAAAAAAAAACGAGAGAAAGAGAGAGAAGGTCGAGGGAAGGAGGACTTCATAAGGATATAAATTTTCCGGATTACCTGCAGGAGGCAGAGAGGACCCCACGCAAGATAGACGCCCTTAAATAAATATGCGCCCTCGCGCTTACGCTTCTTCTTCTTCCACACCAAAAGACTCATCCTTGCGCGAGTGCGTCTCTTGTCTCAACAACGACCGCTGGCTCCTTTTTTTTTTTTTTTTTTTTTTTTCTTGTTCCATTTCATAAGCGGCCGGATTTTCAATTGCTGCCACTACACTTTCTCAAATCTAAGTAGTTTATCAGTAAATCATCTTGATTTTTTTTTTGTCCATGTTTATAAAATCAATTTCTAGTGAAAGTTTTTTTGTACGGTATAAAATTAAGAAGTGCAACTAAAAAATAAAAAANTTTTTTTTTTTTTTTTTTTTTTTTTTTTTTTTTTTTTTTTTTTTTCTTGTTCCATTTCATAAGCGGCCGGATTTTCAATTGCTGCCGCGTCGGCAGTCCTTGTGGGTTTTATGGTTGTTACATAAATACTCGAGGTGCTTAGATGATGTGTATACATTACCAGTAGGAAAAGGAAATGAGACGATGGCGGGAGGGGGAGTCCTTACGAGATGCCGGTGGATATTGCGTTTACGGCAAATTCAAGGGTTGTTTTGTATTTCGCCGACGAGACCGTCCGAAGGGGAGACGAGTCCCCTTGTTTACACGCCGCGTATACACGGGCGTATTAGTTGCCCGCCTTTGCAGGTATACCACGCTCCGCTGGAGGGAGAGAGAGATAACGGAGCCGCTGGGTCAAATATTAATTTTGCCTAATAGAATGGAATTAATCAAACCCCCCCCCCCTCCGTTTAACATTCACTAGTGATGTTTGTGTATACCGTAAAACACTTAGTTGGCAGAGAGAGAGAGAGAGAGAGTTTTCATTTTGGCCGATCCCTAGCGTATATTGGGCACCAACACGAATGGCCCCTCTTTTTCAATGAGATTTCTCGCCTCGGAAGTCGTTTGGAAAAGAAGTGATTTTTCACGCCCCATAAACACCCCCCTCGGCGGTGCTTACTCTCTTGGTGAAAATTCGCTTGACCGTGTGTATATGTATACACGCGGGGAGGGCACGAATGGCCAAACGAGCCGAAAAAAAAAAAAAAAAGAAAAAATCGCTGCTCCACTCGTAGTTCGAGCGTTACATAAGTAATGCACCCCCGAAAACACACCGGTGTCCCTTTTCTCAGCGAAGCGCGCGTTCGAGCCCTCGAGCGGTAAGATTCATTTCTCCCCGAAAGTTGGAGGAGGGTATAAGAATGTGCGGCCGAAAAATCACGATGGTGGCCCCCTTCGATATTGCGTAGCCGAGGAATGCTCGAAATTTTCAGCCCGGCCATTTTTCATCCCCCTTACCTTTGGAAATCGTACCTATGGGTACCGAGAGGTGGTGAGCTCGAGCATGGCGGAATGGGTATTTATGTGCTTCCGTTTTGTATTGGAAAAAATTGGAAGAGCCAGTCCTTTTGTCGAAGGCATTTTTCGGTGCGGAATGAGAGAGACGCGAGTCGTACTTTAGATTTTTTGGGCCGAAGCAACGCCAGGGAGCATATCGCCGAAAGGGGAGTTTTTTGTTGACCGATGATTTTATGGTTAGTCGTATGGTTTTGAGGGAAATATTCGCACAAGTTGATCTACGAGCCATTCCAAGCAACTAAACCCTGAGCCTCGTGTCCGCCAAAGCCACCACACAAAGGTATCAAAGCTCCCGTATACATATACATATACGATGGCTTTCGAAAAAGCGCACGTCTTTTTTCCATTACGGCTCCCGTCTCCCGCAGCAGGGCCGGACAAATGGAGAAAAATAAGCGACATTATGAGAAATCACCAGAACGAGGAGTAGGTCCGGGGGATGAAAAAAAAAAAAAAAAAAAAAAAGGAAAAGAACGAGGGGGGTGGTGGCGATGGGAGAGCAAGTGTATATACGGCTGAGGAAAATCGCCATTTGTCCCTATATCATTTGTCTAGGGCCCTATCCAATTTAATGCGTACGCGCTCTCCTTCCCGCTCCTGAAAGGAAACAGACTGGACGAGGGGCACCTATCCTGCACGGCCGGAAGGAGGCGAGGTCCGAGGCTTGAGGGATGACGAAAAAAATGGGGGGGTCCCGCCGGAGAAATCGAGCCTCGTGTTCGCCGAAATTGCCGGGAGGAACGTGGCTCGCTCGGCTGACTTATCCCTGTTGCCTTTGTCGTTTATGGCCGCGCTTAATTTTATTAGCTCTTGTAACAGAAGTTATACACGCGGAAGTGTGTTTGATGATTTTACATTAACTCGAGATTGGGTGCTTTTTTTTTTTTTTTTTTCTTCCACTCCCACGATGGATGAATCAAATATGTGGTATTGGCCTTTTTTATGGACCCGAGGAAGGATGGATTGTGCAACCCGTGCTATTATCGCCTGAACGCTTTATTGGCGGCTCGCGTGGTTGATTTTTTTTTCTCCGTCTCAATTGACAGCACCGTCCTTCGCGAAAAGAGTTTTTTTTTTTTTTTTTTTTTCATTAAAGTGAGCCATGTAACCAACGTTTCAGAAGAAATTAGAATTCTTGACATGGATATGTCTTTCTTCGTACCATTTGTTTGGCACTTGAAGAAGTGTCCTTAAAAATTATCAACAATCCGCTGCGCAAAGATACGCGCAAAAGTGTCTTTATCGACTTAATTGTCTGTAATTGCACTTAGGTAGCAGTGCAGGTGACGCATCGGATGGATTTTAATTTCGGAGGAACCAACGAACTATAAACTAATAAGGACCATTAAACACACGATCGTGGAGTTTGCGTCATTCGTCGCTTCGAAAAACTGCTTTAATTTCGTTGGTCGTCGGATCATCTCGCGTTTGCGTGTCTCAATAAAAAACAGAAGAAGAAAAAAAAGGCAGCAGGAAGCTCTAAAAAAATCAAAACACCGAAAGGATGGAACGATATTTTCGCGGTTTTCGCCGATTGACGCGCGAGAAGAGCGGCGGGGGGCAAAGCCGGCTTACGTAAAAATCAGATAAGCCCCCCACGCGCGGCCAATTAGCCGCGGAAGGCGCCACATCCGGTCCACGTGCTTTCAGAGCTCGGGTGTAGACAACCGATTCGCGTGTATATAAATTGCCGTGCGAAAATCAACATGGTCAGTTCGGCTTTTGCTAAACAAGTGGACGACAGCGCTCAACCTCCCAGGACACTCCACAAGATGAAGCGCGCCTTTGCCACCCTCCTCGTTTTTGTTTATTTGGTATGTACGACTATTTTTCTATTATTCTTAGTCACGAGTAATGATATTCCATCCCACTTCACGATTTTACCCCGCAGAGCGTCGCTAAATCCATGGACCTGCACTTTATGGACGAAATGCTGGAGTGCGGCCACGAGATGGGCATGGACACTGGTATTCTTTTTTTTTTTTTACCTTCTGTACATGTACAACCGAGGCGTGGTGAAAAAAAAGAAAACATTCAAGCTTTCCCCTGCATGTGTTTCAGAGCAAATCAGGAACGTGCTGTTGACCAAGGACGACGAGAAGTTGGGCTGCCTGAACGCCTGTGTCCTGAAGAAGCTCGGAGTTGTGAGTATTATACCGATTGCGCGTGTTTTCCCTTTTTGTATGCTTTTAAAGTTAACCGCTTGACGATCCGGTAGATGATTGATGGGAAATTGCACGAGGAGAACCTCTACGAGGTACTGGAGAAGCACAAGGACACCATATACAACTTCGACGAGGTCAAGGAAGCCGTGGAAGACTGTTACGATGAAGGTATACCCTATACATTTTTTGAACAGTCGATTATCGAAAAGAAGCACTAATCCAAGGCTCATTCGTTTGTTTCCAGTCGACGAAGCGGAGGACCTGCCCGAGTGCCAACTGGCCCGCAAGTTCTCCATATGCATGGACGAGCATCTGAGCACCAGCTAAGAAGCAACGGAACAAGCATGTATACCAACATCAACGGCACATCGCGCCCACACCTCTACATATACATACATAATGTACACACCCAATTACACGCCGCTTATAACTTATACTTACCTGGTGGTACTCTCCGACGATGGCTAATTATGTGTATCCGCGTACGCCCGTATGCACCGGTTATGTAAAAGGCCAATAAAGTAATAATCCTAGTAACACACGTGTACAACCTGCAGCATATAAATACATTACTCGACTTGTTTATCCATCATCTCTCGAAACGGAGGTGCCCATCTCCTTGAACCTCCCCCATCCACGTTGATCCTCCCTCGTGTACGCGCGATGCAGATTTAATGAAAACAGATATTTCCCCGTACGTTGGTCCGCTCCATCTGTTATTATCGCGTGATTTCGATGCCCAGTTCACAGGAGCAGGGGCGGGGGTGGAGCTTAACCACCCCTGCGCTCGATTGTCGGTGGGTGTATGGAGCATTTGACAATAATTGCTCCGCAAAGAGGTTTAAGCGAGGGTTTACCTTGTACATTACGATAATTATGTCCCTCGCGACTAACCGATTTTTTATATCGACTTCCAATGAAAGAAACGCCATCAGTGTTGGGAATCTATGTAAGCAGTTTTAACGCGAGTGCAATAATTTGTCGGATTCGCAAAAAACTCGCGTAGCTCAAGTGCAAAAAAATATTCAAATACCAATCAGACCGAGGTGATGGAGTAAGCAACGCTTCATGCGAGAATCTCCATTCGCAGCTCGGTTAGAAAAAAAAAAAAAAAAAAAAAAAAAAAAAGGGAGTGTGTGTGTTGTCCTTCCGAAATGAAAATCAAAAGCCCTTAATCCTCCTCTCGCGGGCGCGACAAATCATCCCTCTCTCTCCGATTTCTCGCAATTAGTCCCCCCTACTCTTGCACCCATCCATATCACATTCATACACCTCGCCCATACATACAGGTTTCCAATTCTAAGCTTAACTCTCTCTCTCTCTCTCTTCCACAGAGTTCCCATTAAACTGGGACCAGGAGAGAGCTGCCCTTGCGGGTGCCCAACGTCAACCAATAAGCCACGCGCACCCCACCCAACCCTCCGCCTATCCTACCGTATACATATTATATACTGTCCACATAGAGCTCCGGCGCGCGTGATTTATACGAAAAGCGCGCAATGGAATCCGAACAATGTTAATTTCGCGTACGCCCTTGGTCGCGCGCGCGTGTGTGTGTTTGCATATGGGGATCTATGCTCTGTAGGTTGGGGCGACCTTTAGCCACCCCCCGCGGCAGCTGAGCTTACATTCTCGCCCCCGGAGGGCTACTGCCCACAGAGAGAGAGAGAGAGGTATTAACCACCGCTGCTGTGGCTACGAGAGGGACATACTGTTTTCTTTTTCTATTATTTCCAGATAATATATACCAGCTGATGTAATACGTGTGCGTCGCAGTGGCATCTGGAAACGCGTGTGTACACGTCCGTGGCATAGGGCGTGCGTGTCTTTTGCGCTTTTGCTTCGTTATTCGGCAAAGTTTTTTTTTTTCAATTTTACCCCTTTCTTTTTGCGCGTGGGTGGAAAAAAAAGGGAGCTAGACTTTGAAGCTTCGCACTGGAGGGAGGGATTAAAATTTACAAACGCCGGGGTGCGCGATTCGAAAGCTATATATAGAGGGGGGGGGTTTGAAAGGTAGAAAAATGCGAAAGATGAAATTTCACCGTGTAGGGGTGCTATCGAGTGGGCTTTCAAAGGCTCAAAGAGTTTTGTGTCGTTGTTGTTGTTGTTACGTTTTCAATAAGGTGCGCAGAGTGTGATAAAGAGATTGATTTTTTTTTTTTTTTTTTTTCACGTCTGACGAGATCATTGTGGAAATTAACAACAAACCATAAGTATATATATTTCCACTGTCATCCGTCATTTGTGGGATTACGGTGAGATCCGTTCAAATGAAGCACACCTACCGTGGTATGTTTCTCAAGGGGCATAAAGGGCACCCAGTTCTATCCATTTGGGGTCCATAAAGGAGGACCTTTGAGTATTGACGTAAAAGACGTGTTAGAGTATAGCTTCTGATTACAAATCATGATATTACTGTAATTGGGTGGAATTTAATCAACACCTGTGAAAAATTTTGTACCCTGTAACTCTGGTACATATGGTTATTTCAAGTATCGTTTCGTGTATAAACTGCGACACATATACAGTGCAAACTTTGTAGTACCATATACTTGATGCCCACCGCGCAATATCGTAAAAGCCCGATAGACCCATATCGTACAGTGTACAGTAATTCTCGAACATTTCTGCAACTCACAGCCAAAAGGATAGGGGAAAAAAAATGGAAAAACTTTGGATATTGGCCTCGTGCGTGCATCAGGTGTACTTAGTCTCTCGCTTAAGGAAAACACATATAAACTTCCACAGCCGCCAAGTACAAGTACCAGCATCACGAAATCTCATCAATTTTGTAACGCGTAAGCGCATGTGCCGCAAGTCGGGATACAGAGGGGCGCCAATCACGCGAGCTCGCGTGCTTTCGCACGTATACGCACTTACACACGCGTAAAATATATATACATATACATACGTCACTTGTACCTTACCCAACGTACCCCCATAGATCAAGAGGCAAATAATGCCGTCGTGCAGCCTCATCGGTGAAGATTGCGCCGAGTCTCGGGAGATGCTACGTTGGCATATATGTATATACATGCAATGCGATCGCGTCGCTGGTGCTCAACAAAGCTCGGATATCTTGTTTGCTCGGGGCTTGTTGCCCTCCCGGTTTAATTCGCCAGCCGGAGCCCAGAGAAGTTCGTTTCGTTCCGCGGGCCTGAGTCGATGGTAATTGCCCGAGAAGAGTCGCGCCGCACGGAGTACGAGCGTTAAACGCGTCTAAGGAGACTTGGCTAACTTTGTTCTTCCCTTCCACTAGCGGTTGCCTTCCAGCCTCCAGAGAGAGCGGTCTTTTTTTTCATTTCCCCTGATTACCATGTTCGCGATTGATGTGTTTTATCCAGAGGCCGATGAATGTACAAAACGCGAGACCGAGAGGAAAAATCCAATACAGGGTTGAAAATTAAAACTCTACCCCCCTGCGCCTCATTTGGATGCACCCCCAGCTCGGGGGAGCCTCTATTTTCCCCATCGCCCTTTTTTATTTAGTCCACGAGCACGCAGTACAAAATCACTGGAGAAAAATGCATGTAGCTGTACCCTGATGTATATACGCTGGATGTTGGGGGAATGGCACAAAATTAATTTCGTGGGCGTAAAAGGGTTACACGCGTAACGCATCCTCCACTATACTATTACGGTTGTATAGTTGTTTGGCAGTGAATCTTTTTGACGGACCATCCTCGGCTGCCTTTGTGTACAAACCCCCCTGGATGATTGACACGGAGGACCATTGAAAACGTCCACCTCGAGTTATTTATCGTACGGTGCAGGGCAGCGATGATTAAATTTTTTGCTCCGTATCATACTGCAATGTTTCCGCGTTTAGCTCCAGGAACAATAGAGGCCGGGTGAGGTGGAACAGTCTCGGGTCTGCAGGCAGGCAGCACAACGTTGGTGCTTGGCAGCGCTCGTACAGCGAAATGGGGATAATTTACCTAAACTGCGGAATTTGACGTTTGCCGGGGGCCTCCCGATAAGCCAGACGAAATTACGCTTACAGCTAGAGAAACAGGGAGATAAGCGTGTCTGCAGCTACTTAACTGCACACAGTACTGTTTGTTACTCTCCAGATCCGCTTTACGAGCCTTTACTCGCGTGTCTTTGTGAAAGTACATACATACATATATACACGTTTCACGGACTGTGCACGTTCATGGGAATAATATGGTAAACGCGTTTTTACGGCTCAGCTGGAAATTTGACTTTTCGTCTTTAACGACGACAACCTATACCCGAGTGTACAATTTTAAACGGGGCGTGTTTAATGGACTAGCAATTCGTATTTAGGCAAAATGGCTAACATGGCTATTGCTCCGATGATCTAGCTCCCCCAGCAATTGAGAAATACGGTATGGATTATTACCTTTTTTGTTTCCCGATGTAGAACGGGTGAATAAGGCAACCCTCGATTATCAATAATCGGATAAAATAAGTGTATAGAGAGGAATGGCAAACAATGATACCCACAGCCCAATGCCTCGAAACAAAAAAGAAAAGGGGATCCTCGAACCACTTGAAGTACAATCCTCCATGCGTGTACCTCCCACTTGATGTACCGGCCGAAACACCGACGCACGTATAACTACAAGGCAGCGGTAATTCCGTAGACGGGAGAAGAGAGTGGCATCAGCAGTGTACACCCACCCGGCAGCATCACTAGCGTTTTCGGAATAATTTAATTAGCAGGAGAGGCCCGCGGTAACTAGCGGCGGCTATACAGTACACCGGCGTCCCGAGGGCTCGATACCAATGTACAACCACCGTTGCGTATTTCTCCGAGTCGCTTCTCGTGAGAGGGGGGAGGGGGACGTATCCACCGGCGGCTATAAATGGAAGCTACGCACGCGATGGAGCCTTTCAGCGTCTCACGGACCCGATCGGCTTAACGAGAACGATCGGGGGGGGCTGCGCGCTCTAATGAGCAGCTTGAGTGGCTGACTCGGTGTGCCCCGTACACGCTTAGGCACGCGGTTTACCTTTTTTTTTTTTTTTTTCCTCTCGCAGGAAAAGAAACGTGAAGGATGTTTTCGGGTTTCAATAAGAGTTTCCGAGATTTTTTTCTTCCTTCCATTCAAACGTGAGGAGTCTCGTGCCTCCGTTGCGTCGTTAGCGGACCGCAAAAGCAGCCCCGACTTACTTGCTGGGTCCAAAGTCAACTCTTTCCGAAAAATGATCCCCCGAAGAACTTTTCCTCCATCCGGCTCGGGGTGACAAAGGCTGGGGAGAGGAATATCACATTTGCAATTCCCGATTCAACGGCCGGTCGAACTTGGAGTCCGGCAACCGAGTTAAAGAGATGGAGGAGTCCGTCCAGCGAGTAAAAGCAAGAGTGTGTGTACAAAGGGCCTTTGAGTCTCGGCCGAATGCAAATGGGAATTTCCAAAGTTTTCGGGGGTGAGGGTGGTCTCTTGGCTGGGAGTTCATTTCACGGGCGGTCCCCCGAAGCGTGTCCAGAGCACGCGCGGAAAACGGTTAAACTTTTAATTAAAAAGTAACCATTGGGAGGGAGGGCGCACTGTTTTTCCGGGGGCAAGCG